AGGGATATTTGTCTTCAAAGAAAGCATTGTCTTCTCAGCTGCTTTTGGCCATCGCCCGCAATCTTTCAGACTGAAATGCCTAGTAGCACAAGAAGGAGACTCCACCCCTTAGTGATATTGATTTATCCAACCCATGAACATGGTATATCTCTCCATTGATTTAGTTCTTTAATTTCTCTAAGCAATGGTTTCTGGTTTTCCATATACAAGCTGGAGACAATGTTATTTACTCTCTCAGTGATGAGAAATGTGCTGTTCTCTACAATTTCATACCAGAATCATACTACCATGTAGCAAATTTAACAGTTTGGGTCCACTTCTCTTCCAAGCTCATTTAAAAACATCAGGTATCTTCTGCTCTGTCATCCCTCTGCCCATCTTTAATGCCAACATCACACTGTCTTGATTACTGTTACTTCATATTAAGTCTCACAATCAGGAAGTCGTGTGCTTCCAACTCAGTTCTGTTTTGACCATACTAGGTCTTTTGCATTTACATGTGAATTTTGGAATAGTTTTGTCAATTTCTGCAAGCAAACCTGCTGGAATTTTTATCTGGAGAGACTTCACACCTTAGTGATATTGATTTCTCCAACCCATGAACATGGTATATCTCTCCATTGGTTTAGTTCTTTCATTTCTCTAAGCAATGGTTTGTGGTTTTCCATATTCAAGTCTTTTACACCTTTTGTTAGATTTATCCATAGGTAATGCTTTTTAATGTTATTTCAAATGACTTTTTAAAAAATTTTAATTTCTAATTGTTCATTGTGAATGTATAGAAATAGAACTAACTTTTGTGTAGTGGTGTTTCGTGTACTGCAACCAACCTACCCACATATGGCTGACTGATGTTCAAAAGGCATAAGAGCAAGTCAGTGAAGATAATCTTTTCAATAAAGGATGCTGGAATAATTGGATATGCATAAATAGAAATGAATAAAACCCCAAAACAACCTTCAATTCGTGCCTCACATTATAAACAAAATTAATTCAAAATGGATCACAGCCATAAATGTAAACCCTAAAGCTATAAAACTTCTACAGGAATGCATAGAAGTAAACCTTTGTAACCTTAGGCTAGGCAAATATTTCTTAGATATGACACCAAAAGCCCAAAACACAACATAACAAATTAATAAATTAGACTTCATAAAAATTAAAAACTTCTGCTTTTCAAAAGACACTGCTAAGAGAAAGGGTAAGCCACAGAATCTGAGAAAATATTTGCAAATCATATACCAGATTAGGGCCTTGTATCCAGAGTATATAAAGAACTCCCAAAATTCAATAATGATACAACTCAATTTTTTATTCTTAAGACAGACTCAAAAAAAAGAGTCTCGTTCTGTCGCCCAGGCCGGAGTGCAGTGGCGCAATCTCAGCTCACTGCAACCTCTGCCTCCAGGGTTCAAGTGATTCTCCTGCCTCACCCTCCTGAGTAGCTGACATTACAGGCATGGGCTACCACAGCTGGCTAATTTTTGTATTTTTAGTAGAGAAGGGATTTTACCATGTTGACCTGGCTGGTCTCCAACTCCTGGCCTCAGGTGATCTGCCCACGGTGGCCTCCCAGAGTGCTGTGATTACAGGTGTGAGCCACCACACCCAGCTGATACAACTCAAGTTTTAAAAGAGCAAAAAAGATATAAACAGACACTACCAGAGAAGATATATACATGGCAAATAAGCACATGACAAGATGCTCAACATCACTAGCTGTCAGAAAAACGCAAATTAAAACTACAAGGAGAAACCCCCTACATACCTATTAGAATGGGTGAAATTAAAAAGACTCATCATACCAAGGGCTGACAAAGGTGTGAAGGAACTAGAACTTCCCTACACTGCTGTGGGAATGTAAAATAGTACAACTTTGGGAAATGGTTTAGCAGTTTCTTTAAAAATTAAACTTCTGAGGCCAGGTGTGGTGGCTCACACCTGTAATCCCAGCACATTGGAAGGCCAAGGCAGGCAGATCACCTGAGGTCAGGAGTTCAAGACTAGCCTGGCCAACATGGTGAAACCCCATCTCCACTAAAAATACAAAAATTAGCCAGGTGTGGTGGTGCATGCCTGTAGTCCCAGCTACTCAGGAGACTGAGGCAGGAGAATCTCTTGAACCCGAGAGGCAGAGGTTGCAATGAGCAGAGATGGAGCCACTGCACTCCAGTCTGGGTGACGGAGTGAGACTCTGTCTCAAAATAAATAAATTAAAAAATAAATAAAAATTAAACACCTGAGCGGTCAAGGCTGCAGTGAGCTATAATCATGCTACTGCACTCCAGCTTGGGCAACAATGGTGTAGGGCTGTTTCAAAAAAAAAAAAAAAAATTAAACATGCACCTGCCATATAGCACAGCCGCTCTACTCCCAACCATTCTCTACCCATGAGAAATGAAAGCATGTGTCCATCAGAAACCTGTATGTCAGTGTTCAGAGCAGCTTTCTATGTAATAGTCGCAAACTGGAAACAAACCAAATGTCCCTTAACAAGTGAATGGTAAACAAATGGTGGGCTAGCTGTGGGTAGAATACTACTCAGTGGTAGAAACCAGTGAACTTTTTTTTTTTTTTAGAAACGGAGTCTCCCTCTGTCACCCAGGCTGGAGTGCAGTGGTGCGATCTTGGCTCACGGGTTCACGCCATTCTCCTGCCTCAGGCTCCCCAGCAGCTGGGACTACAGGAGCCCACCAACACGCCTGGCTAATTTTTTTGTACTTTTAGTAGAGACAGGGTTTCACCATGTTAGCCAGGATGGTCTCGATCTCCTGACCTCGTGATCTGTCCGCCTCGGCCTCCCAAAGTGCTGGGATTACAGGGGCGAGCCACCGCGCCCGGCCCCAATGAACTATTTATACAAATTACAACATGGATAAATTCTCAGAATAATTACTGTCTGTGAACGAAGCCAAACAAGAAAGAGTTCCTACTGTATAATTCTGTTCATAAAAAATTCCAGAAAGTGCATCAAACTGATAGTGACCAAAAAAACAGATAAGTGGTTGCCTGGGAGATGGGCGAGGTGGGAGGTGAGGATTGTGCAGGGCATGAGGAAGTCTTTGGGAGTGATAGTTGTATTCACTGTGGGTGGTGGCAATGGTTTCATGAGTATGTATGCATTTACCTCCAAACTTATCAGAGTGTGCAACTTCAACATATGCAGTTTATTGTCTGTCAATTATACCTCAATAAGGCTGTTAAAGGAAGAAAAAAAAAAACCCATCGACTGGGCGCGGTGGCTCACGCCTGTAATCCCAGCACTTTGGAAGGCCGAGGCGGGCGGATCACAAGGGCAGGAGTTTAAGATCAGCCTGACCAACATGGTGAAACCCCGTCTCTATTAAAAATACAAAAGTTACCGGGTGTTGTGGCGGGCGCCTGTAATCCCAGCTACTCAGGAGGCTGAGGCAGGAGAATCGCTTGGACCCGGGAGGCGGAGGTTGTAGTGAGCCGAGATCGCTACTGCACACCAGCCGGGGCGACAGAGTGAGACTCCATCTCAAAAAAGAAAACAAGAAAGAAAGAAAAAGAAAAAAAAAAAAACATCGAGAGCTTTGGGAAGGGAAGGCAGCAACACCTTTCTAAGGTCAAAAAGCAAGGCCGTGCAGCTGAGGAGGTTAGAGATCTCACAGTGGTGCTCCCTATCCACTCAGTCTTTAAGGAAGACGCCTCCTCTCTGCTGGGCTCTGACTGAGGCTGCATTTCACTTTCACATTGTGCAATCCAGCTGCCCCAGCTGCCAGCTATCGGGGCCCTGTGACACTGCTAGCCAGCTGGGAGGAAGCAACCAGGTCACCAACATAACTCTGCTTCTCAGATGTGAGGGAAAATCCAAGCATCAGAGTCTCACGAAAACGAAACTTCACGAAAATTCGCAGAGCTGGGGTGGGGGTGGGGTGGGGACTGGGGGCGTTCAGGCCACACCAGCCAGCAGCAACTGTGCGTGGAATGGCTTAGGCCAGGGCCTGGGCAGACTGGCCCGACTGGATGTAAATTATTGGGGTCTCGCTGAAAAACACACACAGATCATGGAATTACTAACTCCGATAGAGAGTCCATGGATGGCCTTCAGTGGGTCTTTGATCCCGAAATCATATCCACATTTTGTAAGTATGTGCATTCACGCATTTTTCCGGCGAGGGAGTTCGTAGCTTTCATCAGACCCTCCAAGAGCTCCCTGGCTATAAAAAGATAAAGAAGCGCTGGCAAGGATAGAGCTAGACCCAGCTACTGTTTCTCCTCCTTCCTCTGGCTCCCGGGACAAAACCCCTAGGAATCGCTCATTCCATCCTCCCTGCCGAGATCAGAGCTCCGCGACCCGCTTTCTTCTCGAATACAAGCGATCACCAGATTTCTTCCCCCTTTTCATGCGAGTGTAGACTCCAGGCTGGCCCCCACCCGATCCCGACGGCCTCTGCTGGTTTCCTGAGCGCTTAAGAATTGGAAGTTGTTTCCAGGTCCCCAAGTGTGCAACTTGCCCGACGCTTTTCCCCCCGGGACACGGCACCTCCCCACCCTCCCAGCTCCCACTGACAAAATTTACTTTTGCCTGGGAGTCGGGAGGGTAGTTTCTCCCGGACCCCTCCGAGGACCGCGTGCCGTGCAACAGCCGCACTGCTGTCCCTGCGCCTGGGAGAAGCGCACTAGCCCGTGTCTCCCAACTGCTGGACGCCGCCGGCTCCGCGCTCCGGTGGCCAAAACCGGCTTCGCAAAACTGCTCCTGACCTCGGCCTCGGAGACACCAGCCTGACCGCCCGCTCCCTTACGTGGGTGACCCGGGCGCGGCGGCGGCGCTCTCCTTGCGACCCCGGCTCCCGGCACGTGTCGCTCCTGCCGGGCGCCGCGCCCCCTCCCCGGCCCGGGCCTGCGCGCACCGCGCTCCCGAGGGCACCGACGCCCCGCACGGCCGGGGGAGATGGGGAGCCCGGTTCCCTACAGCTCTACGTCCCGGCCCCCTCCCGGGTCCCGCCCGGGCGCCCCTGCTCCCAGCTCCCTACCCCGCGTCGCTGGCGGTCGGAGCAGCAGCAGCAGCAGCAGCGCCGGGAGGCCGAGGGTCCGGGAGCCGCGCGCCCGCCGCGGGGCCATGGCCGCAACTCTACAGGGTCCTGCTGGACTCCCCGGGCGAACGCTGCCCAGGCCCGGGGGAGGTGGCGAGCGCGGCTCTGGGACCTGCGGCCCCGCCAGGCGCAGTCGCTTTCGCTTTTGCTTTGGCCCCCGAGGGTTCGGAGAGGTGCAGAGCGGTGACAGATCCGTGACTCAGCGTCCCCACCCCTGCTGGCGAAGGAGCCCTGCGGACCGCCGCGGCCCCGCATAGCCACCCCTGTCCCCGGGACGCACGGGCCGTGCTCGGTGGGGACCAAGGACTTTACCCACGCAAGCCCGGGAACCTCCCGGTCCTCCGCGCTCCTCGTGCTCCGGGACCTCCAGCGTGCACTCGGTCTGGTGTCCCCACTGCGGAGAGAGTGGGCAAAGCCATCAGACAGCAGACTCTCTCCAGACCCCTCTGCGGCTCGGATCCACTCGACCTTGCCCCGCGCGGGTCGCCTCCAGCTGCTCCGCCTTCGACTTTCCTGGTCTCCCTCCGGGGCTCTGCAATCGCTTCTGAGCTGCCGGCCTGGGTGAGTGCCGGCGGTGGTGTCGCCGCGGTGCGGAGGCGCTGGCACCTGCCTGGTGCACTCAAGCCCGGGCGGAGCGCAGGCCCCGCCACCTGCTGGCTCCCGCGGCGCCCGGCGCCCGCTGGGGTCCCAGCTCTGCCACTTCGCCGAATTCCTGCTGCAGCTTTGCTCCCCCAGAAAATGCCTCATATTAGGAGAGGGGGCCGAGTGGGGTGACGGGGGAGAGGAGCCACAGTGCTTCAGCTCTGCGCCTCGCTTCCTTAGGTTCTTCCAGGCTACCGTCCCCCTCTTTGGCAGGTGGGGTTTTTCTTTCTTGGGGTCTCAAGTGAAGCCTGAGAACCGAGTCTGTAAGCTCCGAAGTGCAGATTCTCAGGTCTAGGGGTCACATTGGACAGGATGAGACATATCCGAGCCTCGGTCATTGTCTCTTAAAATCTCACGACGTGTTTATGAGGCTTTTGTGACATACTTGCAAATTCTCTTTGAAAACGAAATAATCTGTACAACAATCCCCCAAGACACAGGTTTACCTATATAACAAACCTGCACATATAACCCTAAACTTAAAATAAATAAAAGTTAAATAAAAGAATTTAGGACCAGGCACAGTGACCACTCCCGTAATACAATCACTTTCGGAAGTCAAGGCAGGTGGATCGCCTGAGGTCAGGAGTTCGAGACTAGCCTGGCCAACATGGTGAAACCCTATCTCTACTAAAATTACAAAAATCAGTTGGGCGTGGTGGCAGGTGCCTGTAATCCAGCTACTCCAGAGGCTGAGGCAGGAGAATTGCTTGAACCCGGGAGGCTGAGATTGTAGTGAGCTGAGATCGCCCCACTGCATTCCAGCCTGGGCAACAGAATGAGACTCCGTCTCAAACATAAAATAAAATAAAATAAAACAAACAAAAGAATTTAATGGCGTAAAAACGTAGGTTGTTATGCATCCCCCTCCCCCCACCCCACACACACAGTGGGAAAAGAGTAGATGAAAGCTTTTCCTACAGTCATGTTGAGCCTCATGACCTTTCTGTTAATGCCAGCTGGTATGTGCCTCGGTGGTCCCATAAGATTATGATTCCGTATTTTTACTGTAACTTTTCTATGTTTAGAGACACGGATCCTCACCACTGTGTTACAGTTGCCTGCAGTATTCAGCAAGGCTTCGTGCTGCACAGCTTTGCAGTCTCGGAGCAACAGGCTAGGCCGTGTGACCTCAGTGCGTAGCAGGCTATGCCATGCAAATTGTGTAAGTCCTCTGTGATGTTGGCAAAATGAGGAAATCATCTGACAAGCTTCTCAGAAACTATCTCTATTAGTAAGTGAGGCATGACTGTTCTTGCTCCTCTTTCCCTAAAAAGCTTAAAATTGGCATAAATGTAAAACACACTGAACAAAGGAATGCAGAGGATTGGTAATCCCACTTGGATCCAACCTGTAAATATAATCAATGTCAACATTTTGTGTGTTTCAGGTTTATGAAAACTTCTTTTGTTATGGACATTTTCAAATATCAAAAGTAGGGCCCAGATGCGGTGGCTCCCGCTTGTAACCCCAGCACTTTGGAAGACAGAGGCAGGAGGATTGCTTGAGGCCAAGAGTTGGAGGCCAGCTCGGGCAGCACAGTGAGACCCCTATCTCTACAAAAACTTTAAACAAAACAAAATTAGCCTGATGTGGTGGCACTTGCCTGTAGTCCCAGCTGCTTGGGAGGCTGAGTCGGGAGGACTGTTTAAGCCCCGGAGTGAGGTTTGAGGCTGCAGTGATCTATGATGGTGCCACTGCATTCCAGCCTGGGCAACAGAGCCGGATCCTGTCTCTTAAATAATAGTTAAAAAAAAAAAAGTAGAAAGAATAATGAACCTACCATCTGGCAGTGACCACACAAGGTCCTTTCTTTTTTCTAAGCAGGAATAGCTACCCTTATTCCAACTGGGGAAATTCCACGTTATTCAATTTCCCTCAATACTTAAGAATATATCTCGGCCGGGCGCGGTGGCTCACGCCTGTAATCCCAGCACTTTGGGAGGCCGAGATGGGTGGATCACGAGGTCAGGAGATCGAGACCATCCTGGCTAACACGGTGAAACCCTGTCTCTACTAAAAAATACAAAAAACTAGCCGGACGAGGTGGCGGGTGCCTGTAGTCCCAGCTACTGGGGAGGCTGAGGCAGGAGAATGGCGTGAACCCGGGAGGCGGAGCTTGCAGTGAGCTGAGATCCGGCCACTGCACTCCAGCCTGGGCGACAGAGCGAGACTCCATCTCAAAAAAAAAAAAAAAAGAAAAAGAAAAAGAATATATCTCAAGATGATAAGATCAAATTTTAAAATTAACAATATTCCTTAATATTGTCAAATATATTCAGGCCTTATTGAATGCAGTCTGAGCATACCATGTATAAAATAGAGCATTTTTTACTCTATGAACATTTATGAAGTAGAGATTTCTCCATTCTTACAGATTCTTTGTAAAAGTTTTTAATAGTTGCAGATTATCATAGTTTAACATCCCCTCTATTATTTTAATATTAAAAATAAGATTGTCATAAATATCTTTCTACAAAGTCTTGTGAATTTAAGATTGTTTAGAATAGATTTCCTACAGTGGAACTATTGAGTCAACTGGTAGGGAATATTTTTAAAGGCTTTTTTTCCTTTTAAACAAATATTTCTATCTTGCTTTCCAAAAGTCTTGTATCAATATACCTTCTAACTAGCATTGTGTTAAAGTATCCATTTTACTGCATTCTGGCCAAAAGTACATTTTAAAATTTGAAAATAAAATTTTAAATTTTGTTTGCTTAAAAGAACTTTATTTCATTACATATATATGTGTTGTTAAATAATGTAAATTTCAAACATACTTTGAAGTATAGCAATCCATAAATATAGTGGATATCCATGAGCCTACGGCCTCATCCTGTCAAATCTTAATATGTCTGCCCAATGTTTGCTTCAGGTATTTTTTGGAAGAAAAAAATTACAGATAAAGTTGAAGCCCCTTTGTGTTCCTGCATCTTTCTCTTCCTCTGTCTTCTACCTTCTCACAGGTAATGTTTCTTGAAATTGGTACTCATTATTCCCAGGCATTCTTAGGCCCCTTTTCCATGTGTATGTCCATGTGCAACGGACAGGAAGGTTTATATGTTAAAAAATTCATATGAATAAGGCTGGGTGCAGTGGCTCACGTCTGTAATCCCAGCACTTTGGGAGGCCAAGGCAGGTGGATCACTTGAGCTCAGGAGTTCAAGACCAGCCTGGGCAACATGGCGAAACCCCTCTACTAAAAATATGAAAATGAGTCTGCTGTGGTGGCAGGTGCCTGTAATCCCAGCTACTCAGGAGGCTGAGTCACAAGAATCACTTGAACCCAGGAGGCCGAGGTTGCAGTGAACCGAGATCGCGCCACTGCACTCCAGCCTGGGTGAAAGGGCAAGACTCTGTCTCAAAAAGAAAGTAAAAGAAAAAAGAAAATGTCACAAAGGTCTGCAGATACCCCTGTGGATAATAGCATTAAGAAAAATAAAGCATTTATGTGTATCTATAACACAGAAAGTCAAACTGTTGGGGACACTAGGCAGTGGTGTAAGTGTGAAACATCTTACAGAAAAGTACGGTGTTGGAATGACCACCACATAGGACCTGAAGAAACAGAGGGATAGACTGTTGAAGTTCTGTTCTGCAAGTGACTAACAGGAGTTAATGGAAAATAGAAAAATCCTGCAATAAAATAAGGGAAGATCTCGATTGTGCACTGGAAAAGTGATCCATCAGTATCACAGTGGACACATGCCACTTAATGATACCCTGATCATGAAACAAGAAAGATCTATTATGATGAACTAAAAATTGAAGGGAATTGTGAATATTGAAGGTTGATTGTAGAATTTAAGAAAAAATATGGCATTAAATTTTTAAAGATTTTTGGCGATAAAATATCTGCTAATCACAAAGCAGCAGAGTAATTCATTGGCTAGTTTGCCAACGTCATCGCCGCTGAAAATCTGACACCAGAACAAGTCTATAATGGCCATGAAACATCACCGTTTTGGTGCTATTGTCCCAGAAACACACTGACGCCTGCGGATCAGATGGTCCCAACAGGAATTAAGGAACCCAAAGACAAAACTGTGCCGGGTTGTGCTAATGTAACAGGCACACATAAGCCCAAACTGCTGTGATAGGCAAAGGCTGCATCCTTGCTGTTTTCAAGGAGTGGTTTTCTTACCAGTTCATTATTATCCTAACACAATACATGAATTACCAGGGACTTCTTTTCTATTCTTTTCTTTTTTTTCTGGAGACAGAGTCTTGCTCTGTCACCCAGGCTGGAGTGCAATGGAGTGATCTCAGTTCACTGCAACCTCTGTCTCCCAGATTCAAGCCATTTTCATGCCTCAGCCTCACGAGTAGCTGGGATTACAGGAACCCATCATCATGCCCAGCTAATTTTTGTATTTTTGAGAGACAGGGTTTCACCATGTTGGCCAGGCTGGTCTTGAACTCCTGACCTCAGGTGATCCACCCACCTCGGCCTCCCAAAGTGCTAGGATTACAGTCGTGAGCCC